CATAATTTTGTTGCCTAATGTAACTTAATATGGTTTCATCATATAGTTTGTTTTTATAGTGTGTAAAACTGGGATAACTTTACTCAAGTTAGTTTAATTTTAATTGTCATTAATTGTTGCTGAACAACATTATAAGAGGTTTGAGAAACTTTTACACCTTTCAAATTAACTTAAATTCTCCTACTTAATCAATACATTTACGTGAGTAGATGTAGACTTAAAGACTGTTATAATACCTATCTCTTTTTTTTAAAGAGATCATTGAATTCTGCTAAAACTAAAAATATCTGACAGTTGTTATTCTAACTGTGTTTTGAATGGAAAAAAATTACTTGCATTTCTTCCCTTGAAGAAATAGTGAAAAAATTATTTAATCACGAAAAGTTATTGGTCACAAACAATCCACAGAAAGAAAGGGGTAAAGAAAAGAACCATAAAATTACTGCAGAGTAAAAAATATAGAACACTCATGTATGTTTGCCATGAAAGTAAAATCAGTTCTTCCTTCATTGTTTATACTTTTTATCTCAGTTTTAATGTCACAATTATTATAACATTTTCCTGTACTTGAAGTTATATGTACTATGCAAGTAATTTCATGCATGATACTAGAGTTCAATTAAACATTATTACACAGTTTTAGTAGAGAATCATGAAAGTCTGTGTAGGTGTTTATGTTAGTATAGATATGCACATTTCTGTAACCATTGTTTTTGAAAGTTGTGTATTTTGTTGAAAATTATAGTTACTTAATTTTGGTGAGATGTTCATTGTTTACATAAATGTTAGCATGGTCACTTTTTTTTTCTAGTTTCTGGTCCAAGCTCTCTATGATTTTCAAGCTCAAGAACCTGGAGAACTGGAATTTAAAAGGAGTGACATAATTACAGTAATTGATCGTACTGATACACATTGGTGGGAAGGGGAAATGCGCTCAAAGCGAGGCTTTTTTCCAGCTACCTATGTTGTTCCTTTCCATGCATAACTGATTCACAAAGTGCTTGTTTTTATGTATTTTCTTGTGAAGTGTACCAATTTTGCAGGAAGACAAAATTGATAAATCTCTTCTTACGAGCAGAGTGACAGTGATTGTTTGTTCCGTTTGATCAATCTTTGTTTCACTAGCAAAGTAATTTTGTTGCATATAAGTTGAAGCCAGTGATAAATGCTTTTAATGATTGTTTCCATGCGGTCCAAGCTGGACAATCAAATCAAGATTGTGTTCACACAAGTGCATTTCATAATTTAGTATATTTGTTTACATGTAAAGCATGCCAAAAGTTTTAATTCATTTGATTAACTTTATACTGCATGGTATAACAGTAATAGGGCTTCATGTGTGAAAACACATTGAGCACCTCAAAGTTGTAAATGATCCAAATGAATGTCTCTTGACAACTACACGGTATTTGGCAGATGTTGTATTGTAGTTAACCCATTTCATTGTTTTGTATTTAAATGAATAAGAATGAACAATATATTCATATGGGGCACAACATTTTCTACACTATGTAGCACATATTGTAAAGGTGTAAAAGTCAATTTGTTTTTATTTTGTAGTAACAAACTGATTATTTTTAGCTTGGCGAGTTGTATTATTAATTTTTTTTCACCTCAGCACTATAAGAGTTAACCTCATGTTGATTCAATCACCTGTAGCCATTCTACCATATGTCAGAGAAAAGGCTTTTGATATCAAAGTAGACCTAGAGAAATGTTCCAATTGAGTGTGTGAGGAAGACTTGGTAATACATGATGGATAGTTATTATTGATAAAATTAAATGAAGCTTAATATGGTGGATTACCATTGCATCTTACACTGTTAATTTATGCTAGTAACTGTGTGCACATATTTTGATATCAAAATGTGCTTATTTAATAACAGAAAGGATGTGGCTTCACACATTGCTTAGGCCTTCTAAAAAACATTTATCAAACTACAGTTTTTCTTTTAGGGTTTTTCTTTGAATTATTTAGGTGAAGTATTCAACATGAGTACACTATAATAGACAGCAACTGCCTGTTGTAGAAAAATACAAGTGTAGAGGGCAACATTTCAAAAGTCTTTTGTCATTGGAGGACTTTTTGAAATGTCATCCTCTACACTTGTGTTCTTTCTACAACAGGTAGTTGTCACCTATTCCAGTGTACTCAACCTATTTTAAGGTTGTATCAGTGGAACTTGTTACTAGTTATACGATCTTGGTAGTTTATAGTTGAAGTGTTTATGGCACAGAAGTCACCAGGTCTGGAAGAAGAATTTCATAATTGTGTCAGTGAAATATAGAGGTTGAAAGTATTATGTTGTATACACTGTAGAGTACATACTATAATAATATAGTTTAATCTTTAGAATCTTTTTTGTTTCAAGTATGTTGCAAATAAACTAATGAAGACAGTGTTACAAGGCTTATTGAAAGTTTTATAATTGCATTTTATCTGATGTTGATTTTTTTAAATATCATAAGCACCAACAGTAAATAGTGGAAATATTCAAAGTTCAAAACAATATTGATATAAATAAAAGGTTGTAAATCACCAGATATTACTTCAGGTGAAACTTGTCGCATCTTTTTAGCAGGATATTATAACGTATATGTATAATGTTATCCATAATAATTTAAAATAGCTGAGGTAGGTTTGCCTAAAGAGGTTTTTAAAGAACATAAGTGTTTAATTGGAGGTATTAGTAATATTTTTAACAAGAAATTCAATATTTGTCTGTAGTTTATGGTTGTATGTACAATTAAGAAAAGCCAATTTGTAATTCATTGCTTCATATGTACAGTTAAAAAAGCCATTGGTAACTCATTGTTACTCTGAATTCATGTTGCACAGTATTTTTCATTTGATAATATTGATAAATTTTTATGTATTGGTGTTGACTAAGTATTACAGTATTTTTGCTTCTGGGTGCAGGTATCAGCAGATATGCTTGGTATGTTTGCTAACCTTGTTTTGTGAATATAGGTTACTGTTAATAGAACTCAAATCTATGGCTCAGAAATTTAATGTGGCATGAACATGAACCTAGAGTTCATATAATATGATTTATGTGGCTGATATTTGATTTTCGAAAATATTAAAAAAAATCACCTTTCTGTCTATATGTAAATTATTTTACATCTGTCAAAGCATTTTGAGAAATCTTGTTATTCTGCATTTTTCATAAAAGGATCCATTATTTTATTTATTTTGGTTTTATTTTAGTGCATTGAAATGTCCAATTCCAGTTTAAATTTTGTCGTTTAATCTGTGCTAATTTTGTTTTAATTATTCTGGTATGTGATCCTTTTGTAGGTCTTTCAGAAACATTGAAACTGGAGGTAGAGTGCCATAAACGTTAATGTTTTCAAAATGTTAATTTCATATTTCTAGCTACCTGTTTATAGAGATCAAAATTTTGATGAATGGAGATATTGTTTTGTGTAATTATAGACTGTGTTAATAAAGAAAGCATTTAGTGTCATTGTAGATAAGGATTAAAGCGAATAGGGTTGGTGATTTTTATTATTGTGGAATTGGCTAAAAAAATGTATTGTGGCATTTTCAATAATAGACATTACATAATATACTGTTTTTACTTTGTAATGGACTGTGTTTTGAAGGATTTAGTGTTTTATTGCTTGAAGTGATATTCCGTAAGATTATAGGTATATTGATGGAAATTGTTCTCTAAAATAATATATTTTAATGAAAACAATGTTTTTCATATTGTAGGATAGGTTGATAGAAATTGTGATTTGTAAGAATACTGGTTAACTTGACAGAAGTAATATTCTGTAAGATTGTAAATTTCTTTAGTGGACAGAAAAGATGGCATAATGATCTCGACATTTTGTAAAGTAGGTTAGAGAAGGTTGTGTCTGTTCTGTAGGACTGTTCGTCAGTGTTGGCTTGGTTAATAAAGATTGGAAATGCAAAGTTGTACTAATTATTCCATTTTCATAACTTTAGATATTTTTCAAGCACTTGTATATGACAAACTATCTCAGTGTGATAAATTATATGTAAAAGTTTTACTTGTTTGTTCTCTGTGAAAATTCCAATTAAGATACAGCAAATTTAAGATAAAAGATAAATATGGCTATATTTCATAAGTGATACAACTACTGTTAATGAAAACTGGATTACATGGCCTTAGAATGGGCTTGTCGTATGAGCCACACAATTAGCTAATATAATAAACCCCTAAGTAACTGTTTTGTTGGAATTTTATTACAAGGAAAGAAGGTTTCAATTACGTTACTAAACCTCTGAATGAACAGGAAGCTAAAACTCTGTACTGTGCTCCTAAGCTTTCCTCTCATATCTGTTGGGTTTTGTAATACTATTTTGAAGTATTTCACAAACTATCAATATTAAATATTCATAAGAACTATAAGGCTTCCCCGTACTAATCAGAAGTGTCAACATGTTCACATGAGCTCAAGATGACACAAACAAACATCTTAAACATTTGTAAGAACTACAAGGTTCCCCATATTAATCAGAAGTTTCAACTTGTTTGCATGAGCTCAATCAAAATGATATTGCCCATTTATCCTTGAAAAAAAAGCATCATTCCAACATCATCCTTTGTCTGTTGAAGCTCTTCTTTTCAAGGTCACTTTTCAGACCATCTGGGGTTCTGTACTTAATTCACATCTGAGTGTTTGGTGTTTAGTTAGCTGTTAATCTTTTAATGCTCTTTACCTCTCCTCATAGGTTGAGTGATCATTGTTCATTTTGAAAATTTGATTGTTGTTTTCTTCAGTTAATCTCCAGAAGAGTCTTTGATTTTACAAATTTGATCATTACATCTGGACCTTTAGTCAGTCTTAATTCTCGTGCTTGCTCATTATTGGAGTTATGGATCTAATATAATGTTATGTTGTTTCACTCTAATTGAGCTTTTTTTAATTGGTTAAAGGTTACATCCTTAACATTCTGGTGCTTGTCTAGTTGATTATTCATCCACTGAATGGCATTTTTGCAACTTTCTTCAAGAAAAAAGCCTCCTATTTTGGGTCACCCCATCCCAGTTCTTTTTGCATGGAAGATAAATGACTTTTAAATTAGGATTGGCCTCGCCTATGCCTGCATGTTTGCTCACCATCACACACATTTTCTTATCTCTAATCTACTAAATATTGCTATTGATGATGCTCCTTCCAGCGCTACATAGCTTTCCTCCTAGCTACTTACTGGGTGAAGAATGTTTCTTGTAGTTTATCACTAACAGCTCAGAGTTGGTACAAATTCCCTCTTATTCATTCTTGGATAATCAAGCAGTATTTAACTACTAGCCATGCAGACTCTTCTGCTTCTGTATGTTTAGACAAGTAATTGTTTTCCTCCTTCCCTCGGACAAGTAGAACATTCTTTCTTTTGTTTTTTTATTTTCCTATACTGGGAATCCTTAATATTTTTTGTTTTTGTGAATGTTTTGTTCCTTCTTTTGTGACCCCATTCTTTCATTATGGATATTTGCCCTCATTTTGAAGCCTCTGACGGCTGTCTCTTATAACTACTTGACCAGTGTTGAAGTTGCCAAAAAACATCACCCTACCCTGCATATCTTTTCTTACTTCAAGTGTTATTATTTGCACCACTTCAATGTCTCTTTCTAGGCTTTGGTATTAGTTGAAGTTTTTTTAAGATTTAATTCACTTTCTTTTGCCTTCCATAGACCTAATATGTCTCCTTAATAAGTATATATTTTAACATGATGAATTACTGCGTGGGATTGAATACTGCCTTTGCAGTAAATTCTTTCATGCACCATCTGTGATCACCTCCTGTCTTTGAGCATCAGGGTAAATAGAATTTCATTTTATGAGTATATTTAACCTATTACACTATTCCATCATGTTGTAGGACCTTATTTCTCATTGTTTTTTCTGACGTTTCTATCCACTGTCTTCTGCACTTTATTTTCGTTTTGTACTGGTGCTAAGAGTACCCTGACTGATAATGTTGCTAAGTATTATGAGACTGATACTGGATGTGACTAGGCAAATCACACATATCCTTTATCTCCTGCCTGACTACAAATAAATCCTTGGTCTTGCTGACTCCAACCAAATGTTCTTGAGCCTCTTGGCCAAACCTTTTGTGTGATGACTGTTCTTGTTCATTTCTAGAGTCTAGACCTCTCTTCCTTTACAGTATGAATATTGTAGACTTGTGTATTCATAGATATTATAACTAGGGATATGCCAATAATAAAAGCAGTCAATTACAGATTGATTGGTTTATGATAATTTGTCAGATCAAATTAGCTATAAATTATGAGAAATCAATTAATCTATCTAGACTTGATAGGTTGGTGATGATAACAATGATAATATTCAATCTATTCAGCATTATCAGTGGAATAAATTTAATTGAATGGAAATTATATCTGAATACAGAACTAGTTTTTCTATTCCACTTTTTACAGATCAGTGTTGGGCATTTTGGTTTGTATTACAGTGAATTGGTATTTGAATTATTACTGAAAGTTATAGGAATGAATGAGTCTGAAACTGTATTGTGTCAAAATCGTGAACTGTGAGGAATGTTTGCTGTCTCACATTAGATGTGCTTACACTGCAAAAATGTCTAGAGAGCCGCTGGGGGAGGGTTGGCCTCTGAATTCAAATATATAAATATGTGTGTGTGCACAAGTAGATTTAAGCAGTAGTTCATTGGCCCGGCATGGCCAGGTGGATAAGGCACTCGACTCGCAATCTGAGGGTCGCGGGTTCGATTCCCTGTCACACCAAACATGCTCGCCCTTTCAGCCGTGGGGGCGTTATAATGTGACGGTCAATCCCACTATTCGTTGGTCAAAGAGTAGCCCAAGAGTTGGCGGTGGGTGGTGATGACTAGCTGCCCTCCCTCTAGTCTTACACAGCTAAATTAGGGACGGCTAGTGCAGATAGCCCTCGTGTAGCTATGTGCGAAATTAAAAAAACAAACAAACAGTAGTTCAATGATTTTGACTAATTTTGTACATCCAAAATATTAAATTTACTTTTTCAAATATATAGGTTAAGGCATGAATAACTAATATTCATCATTTGTATAATGTGTGTGTGCATCTTGCCTCTCCATGTCACAACTTAGTTTAACACAAAATGTTACCTGGAAATAACTAACTTATTCTCTAGTAATGGCTGGAGACGGCTTGAATGGGTAATGAAGAAAAACTTTAATATAAGTTTAACATAACAGCAAATGTACACTTAGATAAATTTCAATAAGATCATCTCTCAACTTTTTTTTCTTAGGAATAAATAAGTTAAAGAGTTCTTAATTTCTTCCTATAAGACAATTTTGGCACCCCTAGAATCATCCTAGTGGTCCTCGTATGAACCCTTTACAAGAAGACATTATACTCTGTTAGATAAGGAGACCAAAAATGTCCACAATACATTCTAGTATTCTATTAACTTGACTACAAGCAATATTGAATGTTATAGTGGATTGAGTGACATAAGATCCTTTTCTTTAGTTGTGCTAATATATATATATATATATCAAATGTGTGACCTAAATTGTGATAACCAAAATGCATTAAAGCCCATTTGCTAAGTATTTGTCTTATTATAAAGACATTAACTAAATATAGAACATTTGCTTGAGAAGTTTTGAAAAAATATTCATGGACATATATAGATGAAAATACATTATTTTTCAATTATGGGAGGGTACAAACCTGGCAGTTTTCAGTTACCACTTATAATAGTGACTGTTCACGCAAGTTGAGGGCGTGTATGAATTTTTGTCATTGTTGTATAGTAATTTTTTGTTATAAGTATAGACTGAAGTTTAGATAGACAGTAGTTCTGAGCATTGGATAATTATTTGTTTTGTGCATTTCCTTTGTCAGTTCTAATGTCAACAATAGTTTTCTTTTGTCCTGTTGGTGTGGACATTAAGAAGTTAATCAAAACTGTTAGTAATGGGTAGGTATTCTTCTAAAGCCTTTCATAGTGAAGTTTTTGAACCAAAAAAAGTTACTGAAATTTTGAATTTTCACTAATTATTACTAGAGGGAAAACTCATGCTATGCATACAAAACATTTTTGGTTGTGGTAATTTTGTATTTGAATGCACAAAGTATAAAATGTAAAGGAAGTGCTGTGTATTTAAAGTAATTCACACAGTTAAGTAATCTGCCTAGACTACTCGCATAAAAGGTTAGGTACATAAATATTTCTGAACGAATCTGCGGGATTCTCAATAACTGCGAGGCTAAACCTATTCCACAACATGTGATACCCAACAAAAACCTCTAGTACAAAAGACACTTTGAACCAAATGGTATGATCAAAAATGACAACCTAGTCAATTTATCTAATAAGAAACACTAGATCTAGCGATGCTTTCAAAACCTGGATATCGAGGGCAAAACTCAACAGGGTGACAGTACTAGTACTCTTAAGTGTCTATAAACAAATGAAGAAATCCATACACAAAACCTTAACATGTAAAACAAAATGCTGTCTGAGATGGGGCTCTGAGGGATAACATGTCCATTCCTCAAATACATTTCTCTTTGCAGTGTATAGTACTATCTATACTCACTAAAGGTGTGACGATACATCAATACAATACAAGTCTCATATTGTGAAGCCATGATATGATTGTATCAATACATCGTCCGATATCTTCACGAAATTGGCAAGCTTTCAGTAAACATTATAAGTCTTTTGTACAGAAAAAATCAAATTTCTAATAAAGTATTTTTGATAAAAATTAATGATTCAATAAAAGAACATGAATATTGAGTACTACATGTATTGTCTTCATTTTTTTTATCAAAAAACATTACATGCAAAGTAACTTAACAAATCAACAACAACAAAATAGACAGATCTTAACTTTCTTGTATTTTACTTCTCTTGCCAGTTGCCATTGATCAAACCTGGGAAATTGAAAAAAGTGCTGTAAGGTGTGAAGTACTTAAATATGACAAGGTTAGTAATATAGATAATAAATTACAGATAAGACTGTCAAACTTTGTAACAAGCCGTTGGTAAAACTTCTGTATCTAGATACGTATTGACTACTATGATGAGATACACATCCCTTATATCCACCCTTCCCTTATGTGCATGGTGGTGTCATCTGTACTTCCCTACTCCTAACTTGTTTGATTTTGAACATAATATTTATTATGTAAATGCTTCTGTTCAATTTTATATTACTTTTCTCCTTTGAATTCTATGTTGATTCCCTGATACATTTACAATTTGAAAATGCCTTGAGTTACAGACAGCAATAAATCTTCTCCTACTGCATTAACAGACCTGATTGGTTTGAACAGATAAGGAACTCTTGAAATGTGTTCACATAGTGCAGATAAGTCTCTTGTGAAGTTAGTATTGTGACAAGTTCATATTATGCTGTACTCCAGGTACAATGTATGCCCAGTTCAGTTTCTTAAATATCTTTTTTCCTTAAGGGATGCTTTACTAATGTGGGTTCAGCATTTTTCAACCTTTTTTGATGCCAATAGCTGGCTCACTGCTTCTATAAACAGTTGTAGACCACTCAAATGCAAGTGCAATGAAAAATCATTACAACTTACATATAAATATTCTGTCAGTCTTATTTGTTTTTGTGAAATGCCACAGATCTACATAGCGGATCTGGAATGGATCTGAGTCAAGCTGGTGAAACACATGTACCTGTATCTTTATGGATGGGGAAGTTTGAAGTACAATGATGCTTCTTTTGGCTGTTTCTTGTTTTTTTTTCCTTGTCTACTTTTGGATCTTTCAACAGTATATTTTACTTATGTATTCATAGTTTTCTATGGTATGTCAAACATCTTTATTTTGCATGAGAGTAATGCCTTCTTCCAGATATTTCCATTTCAGCATTAGTAATATATTGCTATATTTGAAATTTTTCATTTACAGTCTTAAAAACTTTTAGATATAGCTGGGCAATTAGTGAAATATGTCGGTTGATTAATCGTCAGGCTCATTAATTGATTACATTCAACAAATCAATTATTCTCACGAGAGGGTTAAAAAAAGAGCAACTTGTAATGCTACAAATCGGGTTTTGATACCCATGGTGGGCAGAGCACAGATAGCCCATTGTGCAGCTTTGTGTCTAACAACAAATTTACTAGCAATATTTCAAGTAATTGGATAGTCAAAATAATCAAAAATAGTAATCAAAGACCCTAATTTCAATTAGTTGATTATTAATCCAAAATAGTAATCAAGAACCCTAATTTTGATTAGTTGATTATTTTCATGAGCCATACCACTAATCAGTTAAATAGAACAAACTTCAATTAATTTAAAATAATAATGAAAAGTCATAATAGCAATAGAATAATTGGAAACACTAGTTGATTATTTTTTGACATTAATGGATTTAAATCATAATTTCTATTAATAGAAACGAAGTAGCACAAGAGTGTACAGTATTTCTAATAAGTGGACCCAAGATTTTTTCATATTTTGTTAGAAATCCATATTTTGTATCATAAACACATGTAGACCAAATGAGAAAATGGAGAGATTAGTTAATCTCTATTTGACAGATATGGCTGAGCAGTGTTGACATTCTAATAAATGTTGTTGCTGACTGGATTTATAGGTAAAGTTTCCAACACTAGAATACTACCTGCCTCTCTTTAGCAAGTGCCAATATGTTACGTTAATCAAGAAGACTTGTAAAGCAGTTAATAATGTGCCACCTCTAACACAAACAATACTTTGATCTTATTGATAATTAGATAGATGTAGAATTTTTATTGTATAAACAGTTATGAGTAGTGTGGTCAACTTGTCACATGCAAGAGTAACGTTTAATAACATCACTAGTTTCTTGTTAAAAATTAGCAAGTGAAAGACACTTTTACTTGCTTTTGAGTTAACAAATTGATAGCTGTTTAAGTATAGGAATTTTAAGGGTTACACACTGTCTTATTATGTTAGCAATTTCAGAAGAAACTGAAATACTCAGAGCTAGAACTATGATTTATCCAACTTCATTGAATTGTAAAAATAAAATTGACTTATAAAGCCAGAAAAGTACTAAGTCAGCTAAACAAATCTCAGAAGAGCACATAATTTAATTATCTTGGAAATACTGAGGAAAAAACATCAGCAAACTGTATTAAACTGGCATTCAAGACTTTACAGCTTACATAGTTAAAGCATCACCCCAAGATACTACAGCTTTAGTTAAAGCATCAATCCCAAGTCTCTACATATTAAATATGGAATGTAAAGCTTTTGGCTAGTCCTGGGTCCCACCTCATAAAGGCCAGGAGTCCAAGATCCACTGTCTGTATGTGTGCTCTGTTGAGTTATAGTCAATTTTGGGGCACTAAATATCCATATTATTCATTGTTAGTAAACAATGAACTTTCCCACTTCAATTCATGTTCCAATGATCAAAATTACAGATGAGTTAATATACAAACTGGTCAATTCAAGCAATATTTAGACATATTCTATGTACAAGTGTTTATAATTGCAAGAATCAGACCAGTAGGTCATTTCATGAAATATGGAGGAAATACTCGTACAAATCATTCAAAAATTGATTCTTTTAAAAGGCAGATATAGAATACTATGTATGTTCATGCATGAACCTATACCTATCCTACTATGTTTGTTTTTACTCCAAAAGAAAGATGCATCCTCAGACTTGTATACATTATGGTAAATTTTGGCTAATAAAGGGATACGATAATGTAATGGCAGATAATGCATAACATCAGTAAGACCCAAGAGCTGGTTGTAATTTTTTTTTTTTTAATGAAAGTTGCTGAATAGAACCTAACTTTCGTTTAAGTACAAAGTTGTCTTATTATGTCATAAAATTCAACTGACACAAAACACTTTTTTTTAGGTTTTTTTAATAGTAATCTTTTGACTTGATATATAGTAAGCACAAATATTATAAAATTAATAATGCAAGTGCTCCAGATAAGCTTTTGACATAATAAATATTTTACTCCGAAAATGAAAACTCAATGCAGAAAACTTGTGTTTGAATTTTGGTGACTTATTTTTTTTACTCCAACAACTGACATTAGGTATCATTTACTGAGTGCTTTCTCTTCCTACTTCTGTATTAAAAGTCTATTAGGGACTACCCGAAGCAATTACAGCATAAATACAATACAGTAAGCTCTGTGTTGACACTGATCAGTAAAATTAGACATGTATAATTTTCAGTCCCAAAGTAACCCCCAAACAGTAGTAATTACTGTATCACTCATCAATCAGTTTACACTGAAAATTATATCCCATGCCATGTGTTTGTTTCAATACCCACTCAAATTTGTTTTTTTCTCTTTCAAACTGGCAAATACTCACACATACAAGAATAATATACATACCAACAAATACTATGCATACTTGATGTGCACAATTGTTTTATTTCTGATTCACTTCTGTATGTAAAAAAAAATTAATATTTATGCAAATATACATCTTGTCTGGAGCACTGTAATACTTTATGAGGTCATAAATTCTTAGTTGTAATACACAACCAGATATATCAGTTAGTTCAAAATTATAACATATGTATTATAACATAATTTATGAGGTTGAAAATAATTGTGAAATCTGTGACATGTAATGTTTTCTTTTGTAAAAAAAAAAACCTTAATATTGAAAACAATTTTGAGAATTTTGTTGTACACCTGTCCCCCCCCCCCCTTCAATTCAGGCTCCATCTAAATGATTTCACACTAAAAGTAATGTATAATGAAAGAAAAATGTCTATTCTATATAATTCTAAACAAATGGTCAAAAAGTTCACACATTTAAAGTGTGAAAGATTTAAAGCCTACTTCTGTGCGAATCCTTTTTTTTATAGTCCGCCACTGCACTTTAAAAGAGTCTGTACATTTACGTGTTTAAATACCTTTGGCTTCAAAAGATATTTTGCAACTGGTTGGGTGACTGTCAAGGAGCCTTGGATATTAGTTTTAGTTCAATGTAAATATCAAAGCAAACAAGGCAACCTCACAGCAAGCTTACTAGTATTAATATTTTGTCTCCAGTCCAAGCAATCCCCCCCCCCCAACATTTTTCTCTCCAAATTTGAACAAAGTGATGGCCACTTATACAATAGAAGTAGAAGTAATCTGCTAAATAGAGGTCAATTCTCATTCCTGAAAACAGTTAGTTAAATGCATTAACTACAGCTTATAAAGCAGTTAAAGCACAAATCCCAAGATATTACAGTTTAAGTATTAAAGTTTCATCCCATGCCTACATTTGAAGTAGTTAAAGCATCATCAAGTTTCTACATTCGAAGTAATTAAAGCATCATTACAAGTCTTTACAGCTCCTGTAAAGTAGTTAAATAATTAAACCCTTAAGTTTCAACATCTGTAGTAATCAATGCATCTTAAGTAGTTTTATCAACTCCAACATACTACAATTTTGGTACTTAAAACACTATCTCATCCATTCTGTTCTTACTTTCCCAGAAAACAGTCGGGATAGGTTATTTTGATTTTGTCTCTCTGAATCACAGCGTGGTTTATGTAATAACATTTTGTATATTTTATTTTGTTAAAAGTTGGTCACACTTGTGATGCTCTCACATTCTTCAATTTTGAGCAACTTTTAATTCATGGTGTAATAAACTTTTCAACATACTTATTATTTTTTACTTGGAGTTTCTTACTATTTGTTATTAAACAAGTACCTCACTATGTTGGATTAGAAACAATTAGGAAAGATTTTGAGGCTTTTAAAAATTATTTCTTGCAGTGGAAGTCAGTCCAAGATAGTATTAATATGCAGCTGTGAAAAAGACAGAGAAAAGATGAAATTAGTTAACAGTTTACTTTTTCTGGAAATCACAGTAACGAATAAATTTCTATGCAAGGTCAAGATATGATTTATCTTGCAACTTTGTAAATATAAATATTGTGAAAACATGATGAAGTGCATATGATCTAATATAACTAAATTTAAGCTTGGGTATAAGACTAATATTGTTCATTCTTTTTCAAATATCTATAACAATCATTTCTTAATTGTAGATAAATCATGCACAATGAGTGCTTGACAATCTGAACTACCTAGCAACAGCAGCATTACAAAGATCATCCTATTTCTTCAGTAGTGCGATGTTTTAACATATTAAAATGAAAACATTATTACTTCTTATCATGTATGGTTTTTGTTTGTTTTTTCTATCAAAACCTTTCAAATTATCTTATAAATATTTTCATTAAAAGCTGTAAAAATTTCCTCTTTAGGGTAAGTAACAGAACTTTTTTTTATTTAATTTTGTAGATCAATTTTTTAATAAGTAAAACTGTCTAGTAAATACCAAGTCTATTTATCCAAACATGGTAATGATAGTTAGTTGTTGAAATGTTTCCTAACCCTGAATTCACCTGGTTATCAGAATGTTCATTCACTAGTACAAAAGTTAATTTTCTACATATAATTTTTGTTTTGATATTTAAGTTTTTTATTATTATTCACTGAAATTTCAATTAAGGCATTTGCATGAGTTACAATGATTTAAACACTATACATACATTACCACGTCTGAAAATCACACAGAATATGCAGATTATGCCACTTTTTAATAAATAAATTTTTTACAAGTTCTGAAGTAAATTTTCAACCTGGTTTCTACCAGCTTGAACTAAAGAAGAAATATGAACCTTTACTTTACAATTTGAATTCCTTTCATACACAGTCACCACTGAAATAAGATGTGGCCACAAGTACTGACATAATACATAATACAGCTGCTTTGTTGAGCAAACAAGGAATCAAACCCCATGATCGGTTAAGACGGTAAGAAGCACAAGGTTCGTCACCCCGAAGTATAGCGGCACCAGGCCCACCGAGGAGCAGGCTGAGATCCATTTAATTTATTTCCCTAAGGTCCAGCCTCTGTCATTCATATTCCAAAATTTGTTTGTGATAGAACAGAAGATACCTGAAGAAAAAAAAACAAACAAACAGTGCATCTCATATCATTTTCACTATGGGTTTCTAGTCGTATATCTTATTATTTACAGTTTATATGTTGTTATCCTATAATAAATAAAAGTGTCCTTGAAGACAGTGTGTATTCTTATATGCCTTAAAATCATTATATTCCTAATTATCTCAAACAAGGAAATCTAATGGCTATGATTACCATCTGCCATCTTGCTCTTTTTATTACAGTTATTAATTGTGAAGCAATTAATTTAAAACAAGACTGAAAAGATTTTGTTACTTTTATCTATCTCACCAACACGTATGCTTGGTGATAGTGACACTCAGCAAGAAACAACAATTATAGTAAAAGTAAAAAAGTTAGAAAAAAAAAATCTATAAGCCTCCAAAAGGGTAATTGCAAAATATCACAATACCATGATATTTCTAAGTCCCACACCCTTACTAAGTTTGTGTTTCACTAGCTTTGTCTTTTTTTTTTCTTTTTGTTACAGTTCATTGAGATGTTATTAACATTGCAAGAATGTGTGAACATGATCCTTTTGTGGCATTGTGTCATAATATCAATGTCATATTTTAAATATCTATAAGGACAGAATTTGAATAATCATGGTGATATGTAACTTTTACAGTATCCTGTGCATTCAACCTCAAAATGGTTAACTCTTAAGTGTTACAGTTTAGAAGCGAAATCAAAACAAAGAGAAATCTCCTAAGCTCGCTGTACCTTATAATTACACCAAGATTACTCAACTGATGAAATGCTACAATCCAATCTTTATAAATACAAATGTAAAAAAAGTTTATTCAATTAACTATACTGATTACCAAGTCCATTTTTAGTTTTGTCCTGAGAAGATAGCTTGCTCTGATAGGAAGTTATTTGTAATTACATTGTTTGACATAATTTCACATTATTCAAAAACTTATAAAGAGTGTCAAAAGCTATTTCTTACCCTTCACTGTCCAGTACATCCTGTACTGTTGCTCTTGTGATCAGATGGTCATCACACTTAAACCACTGGTCCCGATGCTGTCTGATATAGGCTGTATAATGACCAGTCTCTATCGTCCCAATGTGATTAACTACAGCAAAAAGGCAGTACCTGCGCAGATGAAAAAATAAAATAAATAAAACTTCACATAAGAAAATGAAATATATTAACTTGCTTGATATTATGCAAGGATCAACAGAATTTTTTTGTGCTGTTTTATAACAGAAACATAAAACTTTCATATATCGTACCATGATAGACAGGACTTTACTATTTCACAGCCAAGAAGCCATGGAAACCTACTCAAACGTTTGAGTAGAACAGAACATTTACTAATCAAACAGTAGCACAATAAACGATTCTTGTATAAGAGTAAAACACTTCCTTTGGTTTTTGCTTACTATCAAACAGTAGCACAATAAACGATTCTTGTATAAGAGTAAAACACTTCCTTTGGTTTTTGCTTACTATCAAACAGTAGCACAATAAATGATTCTTGTATAAGAGTAAAACAGTTCTGTTGGTTTTAATTTCTGGTATTTGTTCCAAGTTTAAGTAGAATCACAGTGATTTTATCAGTTACAGGAATGTAGAACAAGATCTTGTTTTTTTTCCCTATTACATGGTAGTTTTCTAGTGGTTTTTATTCGTTATCAAACAGTAGAACAGAATTATATATGTATTTTTTTGTAATGGTGTAGTAAAGGTTCTGTTCTACATATGGAACATTCAAGTAGGTTCCTATGGGTTTTTGACTCTGTGTTGTGAAACATGTAATATGTCTGCCAAGTGAGAAAAACTTTGACCATTTTAATTAGCCTTATAGTTTTGGAAGTAGAAGGGTGGACTTTAACTGGTTTTTTTGTACTTCATTGTTCCAAAGAGTAAAACAGATTCCCAGTGGTTTTTATTGTTATGTAAAAGCAGGACAGGCTTTATTTCTTGACTTTTGGTGCATAAGATTTGAGACAATTGTCTAGTGATTTTTATTGTTATCAAATAGTAGGACAGTCTAAGAATGAAACATTTTTTTGTTGGTTTTATTTGTCAAGGAACAGTAGATCTGGCTTCATTTGGTTCTTTGCATAAGAGTAAAACACTTCTTTTGGTTTTTGCTTACTGTGAAACAGTAGCACAATAAACGATTCTTGTATAAGAGTAAAACACTTCCTTTGGTTTTTGCTTACTGTGAAACAGTAGCACAATAAACGATTCTTGTATAAGAGTAAAACACTTCCTTTGGTTTTTGCTTATGAAACAAGGTGAGGTAGTCTTAGGTAAATCATTTTTCACTTGACCGTATCAAGTTTCATTTCACCTGATTGGTAGGCTGTATTCATATTAAGCTTTGTTGACCCAAGGAACTAATTATTTGAAAGGGCAAAGAAAATAATTAAAAAGTAATGTAAAAGATATAAACACACACACACACACAGATATATATATATATAATAAAACATAGACATTACAGCTACTAGTAGTTTGACATGTTTATAGTGTAGGTGAAAGCAAGATGTCACATAATTTTAAAGTGCTAATGTCATGCTTTCGAGTTTTTGATTTGTATTTGGTGCTGGAGTATGAGGGAAGATAATGGTAATTGAATAATAAACAACATTTTCCTATCATACTGCATCTTCATAATTCAAATGAATTATAAAATGATAAAGCAAGCTTTAGAAAAAAAAGAAGAAAAAGTCAGGACTTGAACCAGATGGAACATCTTTTCTTCCAGTAACATAATATCAAATCAAGCTTCTATCCATGAGTCTCCACTGAACTTGAAGCCATAATGGCTTAGAAAGTTGAAAACAACAGAAAGAGAGCTTTTATTACACATTTAGATAACTAACCTATGGCTTCTCAAAGCTGAGATATAGACAATTATGCCATATCATGACATCTGAAGTTTATGAACAGTAAAAAAATTTAGAAATTCCCAAACATTAATGTTTTAGTTTGAAGAGTGCTAAAAATCAACCCAAAATTCAAATCTATGTTTTTAAAAATCTTTATGTACAAGATTAAACAAATAAATAAAAACTTTTTAGTTAAATAAATTTGAAGTATTTAAAAAAACATGTATAGAAGAAAATATTCAATTATATTTTCTATAATTTTTTTTTAATCAGTGGTGTAATTTTTCCCTTCAGGTGGGATGAACCCAACCCAGTGGCAGAGTTAAACAGAAGGCTACAAAATTATGTTTGCAACAACTTACTTGTTGTCTGCTATGCTGACACTGTTGGTGTACCCATTATCACTAGCTCTACTACTGTTACTAGATTTACCACGTCGAGATGACATAAACGGAGTCATGTCTAGGTACTGGGGAAAGGAGATGAAAGTGGAAATTTTCTTGTGAAACCTTGTTGAGTGCTCGAAGCGCTGGCAAGAGAACAAATGCTTACTTCAGTAAACAGGTTGTTAATTAAAAGCAAAAATTTTAATGATTCCATAAGAAAAATTATAATAGCTTGTTCAATAAATATTTTTGTGCTCATACCAGAAGTTTCTTAGATTGTTTTTTGTTTAAGGTAAATTATAATATCTGAGTAATTAGATATTTATTTTATTTTAAAATTAAAACTATCATTGTTTACTTTTAGTTTTAGAGGAAAATTAAGCTTAGTTTTTTGTGCTGCCAAAAGCTTAACATTTTTATTTATGTTTCACAAAAACAAGGACAGTATAGAGTTAAGATGTTAACTGCTTCTACGAAAAAATAAAGTTTCAAGACTAGCCGTTTTAATTAACTATATGAAAAAGTGTGCTTCCTTACAAAAACATAGAAACAGCTTCAACTTATTTGAGATAAAAACTTAAACATTATTTAATTAGTTTACTTAACTTTGCCATAGGGATTTTCCTTCCACTAGCAATTTACATCTTGTGGAACTTCTTAGGGTTAATTAATACACCTTCCACTAGTGATTATCTCTCATCTTATTTATAGCAATGTATACCTTGTGCAACTTCCTAGGGTTAAGTAATACACCTTCCACTAGTGATTATCTCTCTCATCTTATTTGTAGCTACATTTAGAATAAATTATATGGTAAATAATAAGTAATAAATAAATCTATAAACCACACAGTTTTCAAAAAGAGAATGTAATGGAAACTGCTTGAGTTTTAAAGCTAGCTACGAGTGTTGTTATAGTTCTTGTACAGCTGTTACTTTTAAAATGGCATCCATCTAAAACTGGAAGTTATTTAACAAAATTATTACCTTTAAATGAAAGCTAGCAACAACTGGCAATTTCTTCATAGTTAACTGTTTGGTGGACTCTTGATAACTCTGACAGCCATTACACTTGATTTTAGCCGAACTTCCCAAGTGTTCAGGGCGTGTGAACCTACAGCAAAAAATACGGAATGTGACATTTATAAATTAAAAGATCATATCAAAGCAGAAATATACAGAATTAAAATTACTAGAATACTCTAATATCATATTAATTTCCTTAATGAATCAAATGAGCACAACTTTTATGAGTTCTCTTCAAGAATTGTAAAAATCGCATAGCTAAAAACCTATTTTCCTAAAACTAAAAAAGAAAAAAACTGATCCATCAACATTTCTATAATTTCTTAAGTATTAATTGCTGAAAATAAAGTGTGAAAAATTGTTGTAGGATTGCATAATCGTATTCAATTTTATATCATTTATGAGATAATTTCACAGCAAACTAATCATGGCTTAAACAATGAGGGATAACACTGGAAATGTATAGAACTACAAAGCATAGAGAGATTTCACATGGATGTAAAAAATGGTAGGATTCAATTAACATCAAACCATACTCTGACTCCTCCATCAAAGGACTTCAAATCACAAAGAGAAGAAGGTAAAAATATATGTTTATGGAAGTCTTAAGTCACCCTTGGCTTGGACTTCTTTCTTTTTCTTACTGAGGAAAATGTCAAACTGGAATAAAACCTTGAGAACTAGATCACCAGCTGCTGTTGAATTAAAAGTAGTAAATAATAAAGTTCACATTTACAGATCAGCAATATGCTAATATGCTTCCACTTCCACATGTCCTGAAGTCTATCAGAAACTAAAAAAATTCCCACAAGTACAGGACAGGCAGAGAATCACAAAATGGCACTGATGAAAGGATAAACATCATATTACCAAATCATAACTTATTAAATAACTGTGTAATAATGAATAAAAAAGATGCTTTGAATACAAAAAAAAGTCTACAAACTCTGTACATTCAACTGTAAAGAGGAAACTTCAGAATCTAAACTATTTAAATTCTGATAATCTCTTGGAACAACTCCCATTCCATTAGAAAAAGATTCTTAGTAAAGGCATATCTTCACAGGGTGAATTTACAGAGAGCATATGAAGGTTCTAGACTAATTTCTCATTATACAAAAATGAATGGAAAGAGGAATCATCACTAATAACAGGATGTGGATAAAAACTAACCGATGTTCTACCACAAAGATCTATCATAGAGAATCTTCGCATACTGAAGAGTTCTCCAAATATACACAATGAATTCAATCAGTTTCAGATATCATTACTGCCATTAGTTAATTCTCCAATAAGAGGAAGGAAATACACCTATTACATAAGAATTAAAAGGCTTTTATGAGTTTTGTAATAAGAAATAAGGCTCTCAGACATGTCAAAATTAAGCATTCCAAATTGAAGTACAATTCCTTCAATAAGATTATAACATAGTTACAAGTTAATAAAGAAGTAAAAGTATAAAATGGGCAGTTCTCAAACATATATTAAAACAAATCAAATCAAAAAGTCAACAATAAGGCCAGACTACAAAACTAAACAAGTGCAAAAAGTAAAAAGACATAGACAAGCACACACATACACAAAGAAAAAAGAAGCTACAAGAACTGAAAAGAAGTGTAATTAGTCTGAAAATAATACAAATACAAAGAGAAAAATCATCTGCTTCACAATAAAATATCAAATAAACATAATGCTAAACTTACCTTTCTAAACAGTCAAGTAGAGAAGTTGGTTCCATATCCTCATTAAGTCCAATGTCATTGCCCATGCTCTCTGCAATGAATACAGAAGTTGTAGCGATTTTACAGTAAAATTCAATAGATTTAATATAAATACTTAGATATACTTCAGTGGACAGCTTCTACATTGTCTAATAAACTGCAATAAAACATGAAGAAAAAACATCGAAAATTAAAAACTAATGTTATACTAAATATATATTTTTAACTTTTACCTGTTGCTTAACAAATAATTGGTGGATTCCTTATTTTAAAACATGAATTGAGTCTCTCTTGAAATGCTACTTAAATATTTATAGTTTTCAGATATGTCCTTAATTAAGTGAATCCTTTCAAGTATTTTTCATCTCTTTAACCACAATGTTTAGCACATATCCTCTCATTATTAAAATAAAAAGTTCACACCCTTTGGTAATAAGAAACCAAAACTAATGAAACAGTAATGTTATCACACCAATGTGGTGAACAATTATATCATGCAGGGTTGCATAATAGTTGCACAAACGTGCACAATGTGAGGTAAAGGATTTATTTGGAACCTAATTAGTTCCACGAGGACCCAAAGGTTTTACTGTAAAATCAACAAGAACATTCTCATGTCAGCCATCCTCTACCTGAAAACTTGGTAAATAGCCAGTATCGTAATAATGGTATATGTAGAAGTAATTTAAATTTAAATCAGGCCTCAACAAATATTTTCAGACCTAGGAACCAGCCCCAAAACTCAGGAGCAAGGAGTGCCTAACCTTACTTCACTACTGTTGTACTGGGAAATGGGGGCTACATATATATATTTACTTTCACAGCAATGAGTGCATGCTAATGATCACATGATATCAACCACTTGATAGTATTGCCTGAATTAACTGCCTTTGATCCCATCCGAGTCTAAGCATACATACTGATTGGTTGAATTGAGAGAAAGAAGAAAAACAAAGTGTCACAAAATTAGTAACAAATTGTGCAACCGCAGTGTTTCATTCCTGAAAAAACATGAAGTGCTGAATCAACCATTAAAATTGTGATTTTGGCCTCAAAGAATGGAAAAATAGTTCAGACTTCCAAGAGTCTAGATCTTCTAGTTTCAAGTTCTATTTAGCACAGCCCTATGCACGAATAAAACAGGAGAAAATACTAGGTGCCACAATGAAAGTTTTAGTTGCCATAGCATTTTTGTGAGACAGTTTTAAAAAAACATTAAAAAGACTTCCTTTTATCTTAGAATTCTGATTTTTTGTATCATTGATCAGACAGCTCCATTTTATATATTAAGTCAATTTCTACTTTATTAATATTCATTAATATATTTCTTTTGATACTTTGTTATGCAGAGTACATTAATCAACACATGGCAAAAACTGACAAATACTTATTAGTGACCTTGGACTTTGCCTTTCGAAATGGTATCACCATTACTTTTGTAGTGCTAGAGACCAATATTTTTGTTAACAATATTTTTATATGAGATCAAATTACATATAATAAAGTTTCAATACATAATAAATTCTTTCATTAGTGTGTACTCTTTAAATATGATAAACTTAACAATAATATTCAATATATACAATGATTTGAGTCATTGGAATATTTTGGTATTGCCTACCACACTCACTAAATCTAACTATGTTTACCCAATGTTTTGTCACAGGAAATCTACGTAGCTTCTAAATAGATATAATTTAACATGAAAATCAAAAAACAACGTCTAAAGAATCTATACAAAAAATTATCTAATTTGTTCTAAACTTCCCATTAGATTCCTCTACTCACTCATAGTCAATACTAAAAAAAAACACAAAGTACTGCTCAAACCAGATAATTTGCTTTAAACTTGTGTAAATGATATATAACCTGCTCTTTCCAACAGTATTCAGCCACTTGGGCTAATTTCAAAGATGAACTTCAATGGTAATTGTTTAGATCATATGCTGTGACAATAAAATTGTGGCAAAGAATTAATAAAACCACTAACAGAGAAAGAAGATCATATGAAAAAGAAAATTTGGATGGTTATATTTTCAAGAGATGGTAGGTTCTTAGAAAATGTAAACCAATTTATTAGGATGGGCAGAAAAATCCTAATAAAACTGATAAAGGCATTGTTTATAGTTTAACTCCTTAGAACTACATTTTACTCTAAACAAATACAAATGATACAATGTCATTTATAAAATACTTTTACATTAAAAATTGTTGAAATCAAACCTACTGCATGACTGTCTATGGTTCAGGCCTGTAATTTTATTTTTTGACTTAATTTTTCAGTTATCAATGCTACTCACGATAGAAAATATTTTGCTTTATATTCTTCAAATTTGAGGCATCTTCAAACAACTAAATAAATTAGATTTAATCTCTCACTAAAAAGATGCATTTCGATTATGACATTCTTCATCAATCAAACATGTATTAACCTTATGCAAACAGTAAGGTCAAAGTGTGCATGTCATTACTTTTCTAAGTTAGATTCAAAATTTAATTAAACAATTTTATTATCAATATATATCAATAAACTTGGCATCAAAACATAGTTTACAATTCCAGTGTTAATATTATCTAAGTTTTAATTTCTTAATTTCAAAAGGAAATATTTAAATAAATTATCAATCTTGAACTCTGTTTCATGTGATAACTCCGATACTCTGATTTCCCAATTATTTTTTTTTATTAACTTACATGCATTTCAGAGAGACCAACAAATTAGTTACACATACTATAGATACTGACAACCCAGAATATGAAAGTTGAACATCCAATCTCCTTGCTTTATCAAGGTATCATAATTTTTGTTACACCCACATGACACAGCCTTCTATTTCTCTCAGTCTTTCAAGATACGTCTACAATTCTCTGGCATTTCTATTGGGCATGTTTATAACCAACAGAAAGAGTAGTTTCTGCACCATGTGAATCTGATGACTGTATTTTGTTTTGGCACTCAAATCCAATAACTTGTAAAGGAATCTTGAGATGTGTTGAATAAAGTTACTGTTTCAAATAGTAACATACTTTTTCAATCAATTTATAACTTAGCTGGAAACAGCTAATTTATAGTAGTTTTTGGTCATTCTATTCTAGTGCCTGAAATGCATAATTAAAAGCAGCATGAATTATTTTATGAACAACCAGCATAGGGTAAAAAAAATAGTATGTATATTCTTGAGTACAAATAGACCTATTTGTTTAGGTAAATCTTAAAACACTTTTATTTATGTATATTTATTTTTTAAGAAAAGTTACTAAAATGAAAAAAATTACAAGACCAGTTCAAGCTAACTGCAATAAGGTCTAAAAGGCATTGTAAGGCAATAAAATTAAAAGCAAGTAGGTGTGAAATATTTACAAACTGAGGCTTGTTTAAATTGGTTGGTTGGTTGTTTGGCATTTTATGATGCAAATCAACTAGGCTACCTGCACCAAACAACCAGTAAAAAAGCCACAAGTAATATACAATAAAATATAAAAAGAAAACAAG